GACGCGGTTCCCGGACACACGCCGCGCGCGCCCGCCGCACTTAAAGGGCCAGGCCCTGGCGCCCCAGGTGTCGCCGAGGCCGCCTCTCAGGGGTCCTCTTACCAGGCCCCACGGGATTTGCGTTTGGACTCCTCCCCCTACCCTATCGTTGGCTTGGAGAGGTTATGTTTTTAATGCAATGATAACAGTAACTGCCGGTCCTCGAATATTTACGTACATGTATCATTTCATTTCACTTGTAATACAATTCCTGGTTTCTTTTCCTTTTTTGGACATACATTTAATTTTTTAACTGACACATACAAATTGTACATATCTGGGTACCGTGTGATGTTTAGATGCGTGCACATACATTTATCATGTCCAGATAAGGACATGCAGACATAGCTTTTCTAACACTTATTTCTTTGTGGTGAAAACATTCAAAATCTTTTTTTCTAGCCTTTTAAAATCCTCTGGTTTCTTATCCTCATGTTCCATGGGGGACAAACTGGGGTTCAGAGAGCTGAAGAAGCTCCTCCAAGATTTTTTGCTCCCTTCCTTGTTATTTTCATTTTTTTTTTTTTTTTTTTTTTTTTTTTTTTTTTTTTTTTTTTTTTTTTTTTTTTTTTGTTTTTTTTTTACTATATGTAGTTGAAACTGACCTGGAACTCACTGTGTAACCAGGCTGGTCTCGAACTCACAGCGATCCTCCTGCCTCAGCCTCCCCAGTGCTGGGATTACAGATGTGCGCCACCACGCCCGCCCGGCTGTTATTTTCATCTTTATCACTGTGGAAATATCTACTACAGTTAATAGCTAGCTGGGGGAGGCTCTTGTAAGTGGGTGGAGGTTAATGTTACCTGTTTCAGAAAGGCAGAACAACTGGCTGGGGAAGGAGAAAGCAGGACAAATGGGATTTTATTCATTGTAGGGTATACGGGAATGGCAAACATTATCACAGTCTTTGTTCCAAAAATGTTTGCGTTGATGGCGTTGCACAGAAAACTAAGGAAGTGGCTGGGTTCAGAGAATGATTGAGTCACCGGCACCTTTCAGGGCCGAACCCAATTCCTCAGTCCTTAGATCATTTCTTTGCCCTCCCCAGGAACAGATACCTGATTAAAGGGAAGAAAACTTTTTCCCTAATAACACATTGGCCTCACCTAACTCCCTGCATCTTTAATTAATGTTTACAAAGCACTTTAATCTACTCAACATGCTAGTTAATTAGGCAAGTATTATTATCCCCCTCTTTCTGAACCAAACCCAAGAGACAATCAGTTCTGACAGTCCCTAACCCTTGGTGCATACTAGACCTGAGCGTTCAGATTGTGATTTTTCTCTCTCAGGTCTTTGTCCCATTGTGTGTTAATTATGAATGTTTATCATGAAGCGCATTAGTAAAAAGTGTTCATAGGTAACATTTGTCTTAAGGAATTCAAATGATTGAGAATGGACGACATTTTGATGTGTTTCCCAGAATTGTTTTTCCTGGTTTTTTGTTTGTTTGTTGTGTTTTGGTACTGGGGATGGAACTCTGGCTTGAGAGCCAAATCCCTGGCCCTTGTTTTTCCTGTTTTATTACTGTTCTTTTTGCTTGGTTAAGCTTTTACAGGGCATCTTTTCTTGTAGGTGAAGAAAAAGCAAGAAGAAAGAAATATTGAAGGACGATGGATAGAAAGCAAGAAGAGGGGAGGAAAAAAGAGGGGGAGAGTAAATGAATAGGAACAAAAATGAGGCTCAAAAGAAAGTTTCAACCCAGAGATATTAGAGGAAAGAACTTGTTATGGGAACTATAATTGGGTGTTTTTTTCCCGTGCCCAGCTGGTGCAGACCTAGCCAGGGACTCAGTTTATCTACTGAGCACAGACAGACAATTTCGATGCACAACTTGTCAAGGAATTTTTGTAAACACAACACACAAAAAGGGATTATGTGAGGGCCAGTATGTAGCTCAGTGGCTCCGTTCCTGCCTGGCAAGTGCAAGGTCATGAGTTTGATCCCTGGTACAGGAAACAACAACAAAACAGAAAAAGGGATTACGGGGTGAGAAGGGACACACAAAGTAAGGTTAAAAAAATGGGTTACAATGATGAATGTAACTGTATTGTTTACCTTAAATGTACCAATAAACCCGGTGGAAAAAAATAAATGGGTTAAAGGGGAAATTAAAGACAGTTGTTCATAAAAGTACTTAATGTATTAGGAGGAAAAATGGAGTGAAGAAACCTCTGTAAGTCTTTTGTATATAGACTGTATTATTACTGCTTTAAAATTCATGAAATTCACAATATTTCACCTTAAATTTACCTAGCTTGCTTTTTTTTTTTACCCTGGTGCTGGGAGTTGAACCCAGTCCTGCCATATGCTAGAAGAATGCTCTGCCGCTGAGCCACACCCCTAGACTCCACTTGATGTTTTACTAAATGCCTTCTGAAGGTAGTCTTTGCGAGGAAAATGCTGATGATATGTGCTGTAAATTGACATCTGGACTGAAAGGCTTGCTCCCCAGCCTGTGGTTTTATTGGGAGGTGGAACCTTTAAGAGGTGGGATCTAGTTGAAGGAAGTGGGGCGTGTCCTGGAGGTATTGGGCCCGCCTCTTCCGGCCTCTCTCTCCTTCCTGGCATCCCTGAGGTAAGCGGGTGGTTCTGTCCCCCATGCCCTGCCTCGCCCGAGACTGGAAGCAATGTAGCCTGAGTAGTATGGCCCACAACCTCCAAAACCGTGAGCCAAAATAAACGTTTCCCATTTGGTGCACTTCCTTCTGGCGTTTGTGACAGAAAGGTAACTAACCCACTATGCGAGTCCCAAATATTAGTTATTTTCATGAACTTTAAGTTAAAATGTAAAAGAAAGCTAAACATGTTTTTACTTTAGGCCGTGGTCACATGCCACATAACCGCATTTCAGCCGACAGGACACGTTTGACAGTGGTCTCATGGGATCGTGTTGCCCATGAAACTGTAGGGCCCGGGTTTGTGACAATCACCTGTTGACGGCTCGTTAACTGGCCCTTGTCTTGAGAATTGACCTCCAAACGGTTACAGCCGAGAAGGCCACCGGAGGAGCGTGCTGGAAAGGGAAAGTCGGGAGAGAGCAAATGTCATGTTTTGTTTTTAACTAAAAAGTTATAGCACTTTAGGGCTGAAGGGGACAATATAAGGATGGGAGTTTGATGTACGCTTCTTTTACTTAAATGTGTTGCCCTAACCTACCTTTTATTTACTTATTCATTTTTCTTGGTACCGGGGATTTTGAACTGAGGCCCTTGCGATTGCAAGGCAGGCGGCGGAACCACTGAGCCAAATCCCCGGTCCAGCTACGTATCCTTTGTAAGCCTCGGTTTCCCTTTTCTGTAAGGCTATTTATCACCCCGTGAAGGTAAAACGAAATTATTGTAAAGTTTTTAGAGCAAGCCAGGCGTGGTAGTACATGCCTGTCATTCCAGCACACTTGGAGGCTGAGGGAGGAAGATCACAAACCCAGTCTGGGCAGCTGAGTCACTCAGCAAGACCCTGTCTCGAAATGGAAAAACAGGCTGGGGGCTGTAGCTCAGTGTGAAGGCCCTGGGTTCAATTCCTAGTAGTAAAAAAAAAAGTTTGTCAAAACAAATAATACATAAGAATGTTTAAATTATGAAAATGAAGATAAATATGAGAAATTGCCCTAATTATTATTAAAACATACTACATGATGTGAAGATGAAAAAAATATAAAAATAAAACAGTATAACCTAGGAAACAGCAGCATACACATTAATGTGTGATAATGAAATCATGTTAAGTAAATGAGGGGATTTTCATTAAATGAAGTTGAGAGAACTAGTAATTTGAAAGAATAATTAGGTTAAGCCCTTGCCTTTCATCACTTGCTGAAAGAAATCTGAGCTATATTCAACAATTTTAAAACTAGGGGAAAAGTTTATAGACAAATATTTATATGATCTAAAGATGAAAGAAGATAAAAATTGGTAAAATCAAAAAGGAAATGACTGTTAGACTGCTATGTGCCAAGTGTTACTATGGGAAAGGTCTCAGAGAACCAACCATGACTAGCAGAGGTATATATATATATATTTGTTTGTTTGTTTGTTTTTGTTTTGATTTTTTTGAGACAGGGTCTCACTATGTAGTTGAGACTGACCTGGAATTCACTTTGTAGCCCAGGCTGGTCTCTCACAGCAATCCTCCTGCCTCAGCCTCCCGAGTGCTGGGATTACCTAGGCTAGTTTCATACGTTGGCTACTATGAATTGTGCTGCAGGTAGCACTCTAGCATGCTGACTTTAATTATTTTGGATATACACCAAGGAGTAGTATAGCTGGATCAACTTGCAGCTCTATTTTTAATTTTTTTAAAGAAACTTCATACTGATTTCCATAGTTGCTATACTAATTTACATTCCCTCCAGCAATGTAGAAAGGTTCCTTTTCCTTTTCCCCCACATTCTTGCCAACATTTATTTATTTTTTATTTTTGATGATAGCCATCGTGATTGGAGTGAGATAGAATGTCAGTGTAGTTTTGTTTTTGTTTGTTTGTTTTTGGTACCAGAAATTAAACTCCGACGAGGCAGGCAGCTGAACCACTGAGCTAAGTCCCCAGTGCAGGTTTAATTT